ATGCATCTGTTTCTGAATCATCTCTCTTCCTGTCAGTCATCCCTCATGCATATTCCTCTAAGGAAAACTCACTGAGTCACTAAATTGGACTTTGGTGGTATCTGAACTTGGGTCTGTTGTGGGCTCCTTGTCTAGGATGAGTGGATGTGTGTGTTGTGTCTCCCCAGGAAATCTTGTGCACAATACTAATAAATGCCAATGCTGTCATAAAGTTTTTTGTTTGGTTGGTTGTTTTTGGTTGTTATTATTTTTGTTAGGTGTTTTTGTCTTGTTTTGTTAGTTTGTTTTTGAGACAGGATTTCTCTGTGTAGCCCTGGCTGTCCTGGAACTTGCTCTGTAGATCCATGCCTGCCTCTGCCTCTGAGTGTGAGGGATTAAAGGTGTGAGCCACCACTCCCTGACTATCATGAAGGGGGTTTTTTGAGGGTTATTTTGGTAAGGTCTAGAAAGAAAAGGAAAAGTGGAAATGTTTCCATCTTCCGAAGAATATATAAATAAACGCAAGTAGAATGTTGGTAGACATGGGAATGGTAAAGGTGTCTCTCACGATGTCTCAGAAGGAAATTAAGGACATGCTACTGTGTGAGTATATCCCCCCAGATTCATGTGCTGGAAATGTAAATCTCGGTGCAGCAGTGCTGGTAGGTGTGGCTTGTGGGAGGTGTGGCCTGTGGGAGGTGTGGCCTGTGGGAGGTGTGGCTTGTGGGGGTGTGGCTTGTGGGGGTGTGGCTTGTGGGAGGTGTGGCTTGTGGAAGGTGTGGATCAATACTCTTAAGCAGGGCCAGTGGGCCCTGAACTCTGACATGTGAGGACGTGATGGTCTTCCCTCTCAAAGGGCACAGCTGGGTTCATCAAGCACAAAGTTAACTAAAAGGACATGAGAGGGCTCATGTAAGGGAATTTGTTCTAAGCCTGATGGCCTGAGGTCAGTCCCCAGAACCCACACAGTGGAAGCAGAGAACTGACTCCCACAAGTTTTTCTCTGACCTCCAAACTTGTGCCATTGCATGAGAACACACACACACACACACACACACACACACACACACACACACAGAGTCTAACAGACAGACACACACATACACACACACACACACACACACAGACACACACAACACATCACAGGTGGGATGAGAGAAGAACAAAATGGACAGGGAGGTCTGTCTAGGCCACTTGAGGCAAACGTGGCAAACTTTTTGTCAAGCTGGAGTTCCCAGGGAGAATCAACGGAAAGCTAAATGCCGTGCAAGAGCTGCCAGAAGCCTCTAAAGCCACAACAGCGGTTCACAGAAGACATACTGATAAAGTCCGCAGTTTAGAAAAAAGGTGAATTTTAGCCTGGGGTGGGCAGTCATGCTCCCAGAGCATATGACACAAAGTATAAGGGGCCCTTTCGGCAGCCAAGTGTGACTGTGAAAAGACGAGGGTCACAGTGTTGAGCCAGAACCTTTCAGAACTGGGAAGCCTGTTCTAGCGCCGGGCACAGCAGGCTGCAGTGCCCTCTTATGGCTGGAGCTGGGCCAAGTCACTCAAGCTAGCCCTTCTGAGGCCATCGAGGGTGGGCAGATGCTCAGAAGTCTGTGGTAGCAGTGGTACCTCAACATGAGGAGGCTGGATGGTTCATGGAGTCTGTCTATAGGTTTATAGAAGGCAGTGTCCCGGTCCAGGCTGCTGTTTTTTTTGTTGTTGTTGTTGCTGTTGTTTTTTTGGTTTTCCGAGACAGGGTTTCTCTGTGTAGCTTTGTGCCTTTCCTGGAACTCACTTGGTAGCCCAGGCTGGCCTCGAATTCACAGAGATCCGCCTGGCTCTGCCTCCCGAGTGCTGGGATTAAAGGCGTGCGCCACCACCGCCCGGCCAGGCTGCTGTTTGTATTGTCCTTTGATGAACGCTGAATTGAAGTGATGAGCGCTCTCTGCACTGCACCAAGCTAACCCCTCTTTTTTCGTGTACCCCTAGCTTCCCAAGACTGGCTGACACTCACATGGATGAGAGGTCCTGCCACTCTTCTGTAGAAACATTCCACTGGATAGTGATAACCTGCGAGATTGGTCTTTGGAATTGTGAGGCTTCAGAACTATGAGACATCAATTTCTGCTCACCTTAGACCACCCAGGTGTCTTGTTTTGACACAAAGTGACTGCAACATTGCTGGTCGGTCTGGACATGAGCTTGGGATGCAAAAGTCCACTTGTATTTGGCGTCCCAGCATCCACTTAGGTTTTATTGTTTGTTTCAGAAATGTGATTAACTCCCACCCAGGCTTTTCAGAATCTCACTGAAATGTAGCCTCTCACTAGGAAAAAATCACCTAATTCAGAATCAGCAATGATTGGTTTTATGCTGGACAGGAGAAAGGAAATTTGACAGCATTTATTTCATTAACAGGAAGAGTGCCATTTAAAAACCAAAATGAAACAAATAAAACATGTCAGGGGAAGGTAGGATCAACCACAGGCAGAGACCGCTCTTTCAAAAGCAATTCTCGTCAGTGTGACCTTTGGATGGAGCTTGAAAGCTGAGCCACCTGGTAAGAAAGTCCACAGGGCAGAGGTCCTGGAGAGGATGTTAAGGTCTCTCACTAGGGAGCGGTAAGTCCAAGTGATCTTTCAGGGTAAGAAACGTGTGAGGAATTTGCCATAGGAAATGGAATAGGAATGTATATGAATTAATTACGTTAGGGAGAAAACCAAGAGTTGGCCTTGCTTTTGTTTTCTGAAATTGTGCTCCAGTTACCAGATAAGTAGCCTTGGAGTGCTGTTTCCCAGGCCCTGGAATTGTGCCGCAGTGATGGCCAGTACCTGCTCAAGAGACACGAACTGCTGAGGAGACATTAGCAGGGGGAAGGACGGTCCTCTGCCCTGTGGTAAATGTATGGAGGGTGGAATAAACGCTGTGATAGCAGCCCCAAAGCCTCATGAGTCTCCATTCGGCCACTTGGTTCCTGCTTGTAGCTCAGAACACTGTGAGGGTGCTTGGCAGGCAGCCTGTACGAAGTCCCACCAGTCTCCACAGCCCCAGAGTTCTCTCCTGGCTCCTAAGAAGTCAGTGAGCAGGTGTGAGAGAGGAGAAGCCAAATTGTCACACAAGGTGAGTTTGCAGGGGCGGGTTTGGAAGTGATGCCCACAGGCCGTTAGTCGGTGCTCCGTTACACTGGTCCCTGGAAAGTCATGGTCTGGCAGTCACGGTCTGCAATAGCTCTGAACCATGAAAGGCAAACGTTTTGTGGCTGGCCACTTGTCTCTGTAATTTATGCATGAGGGAAGGGTGTTATGAAGTCAAAGGAGCCCAGTTGCATGGCATGAATATTCATGTGCATTTGTGGGATTTGCATGTGTACATGTGTACACATGTGGATAGGTGATGGGTGGTGGGAGAGGAAAAAGGAATTACAGTAAGATTTCTCAGAGGAATTTATATTTAAACCGAGTGTTAGAAGAGAAATGTGATTTAAGCAATGAAACCAATGGAAAAGGATTATCTTTTTTTTTCTCGAGACAGGGTTTCTCCGTGTAGCTTTGCGCCTTACCTGGAACTCACTCTGTAGCCCAGACTGGCCTCGAACTCACAGAGATCTGCCTGCCTCTGCCTCCTGAGTGCTAAGGTTAAAGGTGTGCGCCACCACCGCCCAACTCAAGGATTATCTTATAAGAAGAAGACAGCATGGGCAAAGGCATTGGGACATTCATTCATTCATTCATTCATTCATTCATCCAGTCAACAAATCATTATAGAAGTGCTAACAGTCACTCCCCAATCTGACAGTGCAGCTATGCGGGAGACAGACACATTCCTGATCTCATTACCTTATTGACTAATGAGGGGAGACAGATAACAAAGAACTTAAAAATAAAGATATAACAGAAGACATTAAAAAATATGTTGTGTGGGGTGATGGGGAACTGCATCTCTTTCAACAGGTATAGGGTGAGAATTCGTGTTGGAGATAAGGATGAGGAAGGTAAGAAAGACAGGAAAGGTCAGCCAGGAAAAGATCTTTTATGTACAAAGGAGGATTGAGGAAGGAGACATCAGAGACACAAAGTCCAAGGAGAAGACCAGTCCTTCGAAAATGACCTTTCCAGCCTGGACACACATGCCTGTAACCTCAGCATTTGGGAAATGTTGGAAGGAAGATCTTGAATTTGTGATTTCAAAGCCAGCCTGAGATATATTGCTAGATCATGTCTCAAAAAAAGCTTCAAGCAAACAAATAAAGCCGACTTTCTCTATAAGCCTAGGACAAAAAGATGAAGACAAACAGTCCTACTACATAATTCCTGGGCCCTGAACTCGATGGCCCTTTGATAAACTTACCAGTTCATCTCATGCAGTCTGGGGTCAAGAAGAAGTCAACCATCTTGTATACTAGGAATAAAATAATCATCCTTTACTCCACCAGTATTCTTCACAGAGTTAAAACCCCTAACACCCGGTGTTTACATGGTTTTCTACTCTTGAGGCCTCTTCCCGACAAGCAGGTCTTTCTTTCTCTTTCCACTGTTCTAGAGCAGTGGCTCTCAAGCTGTGGGTCATGACCCCTTTGGGGGTTTAATGACCTTTTTACAGGGGTCACATATCAATATCTGGCATATCAGATATTTGCATCATGATTCCTAACAGGAGCAAAATTAAAGTTATGAAGTAGCAATAAAAATAATTTTATGGTTGGGGGGTCACCACCCCCAACTGCATTAAAGGAGGAACTGTATTAAAGGTTCGCAGCATTAGGAAGGTTGAGAACCACTGCTCTAAGGTAAATTTGCTGATGGGATACTCTTTTAAGTCTGTGAGCTTTAGTCTTTGTAGAATGTCAGAAATACAGCAACAGCTTGGGGGCTTGTCCGGGATTCCACAGGCTATGCCCCAAACTATGAGCTCCAATGAGTCTCTTTCTCATCTAGCCTGTTAGGTTCCCATAGCACTGCTCTCATGCTATGGGACATCTTTATGGGACTCTTCTGCTGTTTAAAAGCATGTAGTGTAGCAGCCAATCTGGAACTCAGGTGTAAGGCTCTCTACGGATGGTTCTGACTAGTCTCTGACTCTCCTCTTTGGGAGGAGCCTGACACATTGACCAGCTCCCCAGATGTTCCTCTTTCTGACCAATCAATGGATGTGAAAGACTGAAGGAAGCTTCCAGGCAACAGAGTCTGGCTGAGGCTACTTAAGGTAGAAACCTGAAAGTCTTTTGGAGGAACTTGGACCCCAACCATCCGAACAGGTATCTGGAAGAAAGGTATCTATCTACTCTCCGAGGACCCCCCTCTGGGATAGAGAATGTGCCACTGAGACTCTTCCAGACATCTCCTTTCTTGGGTGTCCTGGCTGTGCTGTGATGGAACTCCACTGTAGTAAGTTCTCAGAGGACCCTGAATTGGGACTGATTCCAAGATGGCACCAAAAGCAAAGAAGGAAGCTCCTGGCCCTCCCCAAGCCAAAGCCAAAGCAAAGGCCTTGAAAGCCAAGAAGGCAAAGCTGAAAGGCACCCACAGCCACAAAAAGAAGATCTGCACATCACCCACCTCTCGGCAGCCCAAGACACTGTGGCTCCAGATGCAGCCCAAATATCCTCGAAAGAGCGCGCCCAGCAGAAACAAGCTTGACCACTATGCCATCATCAGATTCCCCCGACCACTGAGTCAGTCCTGGAGAAGATGGAGACAACCACAACACACTGTGTTCACTGTGGATGTCAAGGCCAACAAGCACCAGATCAAACAGGCTGTGAAGAAACTCTATGACATTGATGTGGCCAAAGTCAACACCCTCATAAGGCCTAATGGAGAGAAGGCATATGTTTAATTGGCTCCTTATGATGCTCTGGATGTTGCCAACAAAATTGGTATCAGCTAAACTGAGTCCAGCTGGCTAATTCTAAATATACTTTTTCACCATTAAAAAAAAAAAAAACCCTTCTTCCTGAGGACTAGTTTTTATGGTTCCAGAAGGCATCACGGGAACTTCTAAAGAAGGAGAGCAACCAACAGTCCTATCCAACTATAGCTCCTATAAACCACAAAAATGACCAGCATGGCACAATAACCTTCAGAATGCAGTAGTAGTGGCATGCATACCTTGGTAGTAACCAACAGCTCTCCGATTGGAAATAAGATTGGCTTAACAAGAAGGAAATCAAGCCTGGTACTGGAAACTTATCCAACCTATCCATCTCTCTTGGGTGTCTTGGATGGGCTCTAATAGAACTGCCCTGTGGTGTCCCCCTGAGTGATCTGACACTCAGAGACTGACTATTCTGTCTATATAATAATCATCTCCCTAGGCAGGGGTGGACTTTCCCCCCTTTCCTTCTCCAGCAATAGTTAAGGATTTAGAGAAGTGGATTCTCAAGGCAAATTCTCAGACATTTTTTTGTCCCCGGCACCCAGGGGGCAATAGAAAATGGTATATGTGGTGGGCTCTATTCATAAGAAAGATTTTTACTCCGGATTCCATCACCACAAGCCACATCACCACAACTATCCAGGCCTAATAAAGTCATAGATCTCGGAAGGATCCTGTTTTTAGGAGATCACTTTATAACCCCGTTTGCCCCAGAACTCAGAAGAAAATTTTGAAAGATTTCCCTGGGACCTCATAACACCTTAGAAAACCTACTCATAAATGCTGTGAAGATATGCTACAATTGAGATCAGGAGTAATCAGGGGAAAAGGAATTATGGGAAAGAGGGAAGGCTGCCTTTTTGATGGGTGCCCTCCAAAATTCTGACCAGGAACTCCTGAGCTGAGCTCCAGTCAAGACAGAAGTATCTTGGCATTTCCTGTTCTTCCTGCGTTGGCCTCTGCGACCCGAAGTGCAGCTGGGGGCAGTGCTGGGAGCCAGAAAAACATTTCAAAGTGGAGCTACACGCTGACTTCAAGACTGAAAATGTCCTTTCTGCCAGACTCAGTCTCAGTAGAGGCTTGGTTCGTCCAGTTCTCCTTGGAGCAGAGTGTGTCCACCTGTACCACTCCATCTGGTCCAACACTGTGTCCTGTGTGCGCCACAAGGCCTGCTGATGCCAGTCACAAAGGTGGTGGTCCAGACTCGTTGATTCCTCAGAGCCCTCCACCAGCTGTGAGCACAATGTTCATTCTGCCACCCAGAGTCGAGTTCCCTATAGGTCCACTCAACTCTGCAGCCTGATACCCATGCCCTCCCTCAGCGGCACAGAGCTCACTAAAATTCTGGAGGCCTTCCGGAGACTCCTGAGTCTCTGCTTCAACACCTGGCTACCATGACAGGTGGCACTGAATAAAAACAGCACAGCAGACAACCAACCGGCTCCGAAGGTTTCTGAATCTACAGCCAGGGCCTCCTGTAGACCCGGCAGGGCTTCTTCCCACAGGGGCTGGCCTCAGTGATTCCTGCCTCTTGTCTGAGCTGCAGGTTGTGGTTCCAATTCTTTTATTTATTTTTTTTTGACCCCTGAGAGGTCACTTGTAACCCCAGGCTAGTCATCAACTCAATATGTAGCAGAGGATGACCCTGATCCACCTGCCTCTACTTCTCAAAGGCTGATTACAGGCCTATACCACAACAGCCTTTTGTTTCTGATTTTTTCGTTTTGTTTTGTTTTTGTCTTTGTGTCCTTATCCATGGTCTCATTCTGCAGCCCAGGCTGGCCTGAAACTTGGGGAGTCCATCCTATTGAGGCTGACTCCCCTGCAGCTGAGAAGGCTAAATGTTCATCCTTTAGGTGCCTCTATTTCTTCCCACGGATCCACGTGAACCTATTCCCACTCCCTCTACAACACATTCTGTCTCAGCCTCCCTTGTGCTGGGATGACCTGGCATGCACGGCTAGTTTTGTGACATTTCTTTATCATTTATATTGTGCCTGTTGGGATTGTTTTATTTGATTTGATTTATTTATTTTTTTTCTGTCTACTTAGTGCTTTTCAAATTGCTTCTTTGGGGTTTTAGGTGTGGGAGTGGCAGACTGATAACAAAATGAAATTACATGTACATGCACACAAACACATGCATACACACGTATACACGCACATGCACACATACACACATGGCGGGGGGAGGGGAGAGAGAGAGAGAGAGAGAGAGAGCGCTGACCATATGGGCTAGCCTCTCTCTCTCTCAGAATCTTTCTTCTTTATGAGCTCTCTTGCTCTATCTTGGAGACACCACTTCCTCAGACTGTAAGCCTCCTCTCCCATTTTTCCTTTAGTGCCCTGGTTTGTGACCTACTTAGCCTTAGGACCTTCTAGACTAGTGATGACTGGAGCTCTCCTTTACCTTTCTTGGACCTACCTATTCTTGGTTACTGTAACCGCTATTCACTCTCTCAGTTCCAAGGCTACCCTGCTGACTGATCTTACCCAAGCTCCCAGTTGTTGGTTTTATCCACTGTGGGGTCTGACCTTGATGGGTCTTCTCTGCAGGCCTATCCCATGACTACTGACAAGTGGGCAGTTCTCACCGGGCAATGCTCTGGTCTTTGATGCGCTCTCTATGCTGAAACCATCCACAGTGGAGTAGGCCAAGGACCACCTGCAGCCAACACACACTAGCAATGAACAGAACCCTCTGAGGGAAGAGGAGGCATCAGCTCTTTTCAAAATGCATCTCTTGAACTTGTTTTCTTTTTAGCATCTGCACTGTTATGCTGCCTGACCAGACACCGACACACAGTTGTCCTAGGAGGCCACTTGGAGCCATCTGCTGCTTCACTGGTCTCTGAACCGGGCTGGGGTATGACTTGTCCCTCGACTTTCTTCCCACCTCATTGTAGTTCATTGCCCTCAAATGGGATGGCCCAGCTTGCTTCATTACTAAGCTGTAAATCTAGCTGACCACTTTAATTTTGAACTGAAATTGTGTGTGTGTGTGTGTGTGTGTGTGTGTGTGTGTGTGTGTGTTTGTGTGAAAACACCAATGGGTAGCTTAGAAGTGGTTCACAGATATGTTTAGAAGAATAAAGAATGATGATGGAAGAGATGTAACTTCTATTGCACAGAACAGCTTTCCTGGAGATCAGAGCTACAACCTTCCATAGGTGGATTTTTCTTCAGGCCACCAGCTCACAAAAACTACACGGAGACTTGTTATTAATTATGAAAGCTCGGCCTGTAGCTTAGGCTTGTCCCACTAGCTCTTATAGCTTAAATTATCCCATTTCTATTAATTTACTTTCTGCCTCATTATTTTATTACCTCGTTTCCATACTGCCCATCCTGCTTGCTCTGCGTCCGGAAGTCCTGCCTAGCTACTGGACGTTCAGCTTTTTATTAAACCAGTCAGAGTGGCACATCTCCACAGTGTACAGAGAGATTATTCCACAGCAACCTCCTGCATTTTTAATGAGCCCCGAAGTGATGTGGCTGCGCTTACCTGACTGTGACTGCAGCTTTGTCCGAAGCTGTGTCTCTTGGCATTTTAAGCCAACCATGTTATTGTTAAGAACCATCACCACCTTCCACAAGAGACTGAAATGATATAAGAATAAATAGGATCTTGACTAAGACTGTTACAGAGTTTGGATTAAGGTGGAATGTAGGTAGATAAACTCATGGTGATTAAGACCTTCCCTTCCTTGGGGACTGTGGGAGCCCGTTCTCGGGTTCCTCGTGGCATTACCCAGCAGGTCCGCATAGAGGATGATCAGGACCACGGGCCTGAGTGCAGGTGTCTGAGATGCTCTGCACTTGGCTGTGCTGGGGGAGGAGGTCTTTGGCTCCTCCACCCCTTGGCGTCTCTATAAAAACCCTGGGCCAGAGACAGTCGGGGCCCATTGGAATAGGTTCCAGGCCCTCTCAAGGCTATCCTTTATTTTCTATCTGTTTATCTCCGCAAGATTCTCCACTATAAATCCTTCAATCTAATATTTCCTGCTGCTCGCACTCAAGAAAACTCTGGGAAGCTGTGGGGGTGGTGGGTAAACGCCCCACAGGGTCAAAAGAGAATCATAGTCATCTAGACAGACATTATGCTGACAGCCCTCTGGATGCAAGTGTTTGGGCTCTAACAGGATAGAATGAACATTTCAAAGACAAAATGAGTTATCAGCAGTGTATCTCCCTAGACCAGGAGAGAAGAAGAAGAATGGTAGAGTGATGTCTGTCCTGGAAGTGTGGTTCGGACTGTAGGGTCGTCTTTAAGAACAGCACCAGAGAATGTCTGTGAAGGGATCCAGGCTTCTCCCACCACTGACTTGGGAAAGGTGTCAGAAACTCCCTCTGAGATAGAATCCTGACAGAGTTCTAGGTCAGGAAAGAAAAATCATCTTTTTTGCTTCATGTGTTTTTAAAGATCAAGGACATACTTGATTTGCATATGAATTTAGCACTGATGTTAGCTAATAATCACTCCAATGATTTGAACACACCGAATATCTATTATGTATGAGGAATGAGGCTTGAACAGAAGAATTCTGAGAATGAAGGAGGTAGAATGCTTTATTTCCCAAGGCTCAGAAACTCAGTGGGAAGTGTCATTTAAGTGGATAGATCTGATATCTTAGGATAAACATTGTACACATTGTTACTGGGCAATTGCCCTAAGGCCAACTGGAGGACACTGGAGAGAGTCTCATTGGAAAAGGATACTTTAATTGAGTCTTGTTCTAAATGTCAATAAAAAGCAATAAGCACTAACAGTATTTATTTGTTTTTCCCTTGGTACCGTGATATAATACCCTGGCAAAATCAATTCAAGGTAGAAAACATACAGAGTATCACAGAGGGGAAATCAAGGCAGTGGAAAGCTTGAAGCAGCTGGTCAGATCATATTCGCAAACAGGAAACAGACAGCATTGGATGCTTCTGCTCAGCTCAGCATCTCCTTTTCATTCAGTCTGAGCCCAGGGAATGGTGCCACCCACAGTGGGCAGGTCTTTAAGCTTCAATTAATCTAATTGAGATAATTCTCCCAAAGCTTGCCC